ATTATCTGGGTCATATAGTCAGTAAAGAAGGAGTGGCTATGGATAAGGGAAAAATTGATTCCATTAAGGAATGGCCAAAACCAACTGACAAACACCAAGTGAGAAGTTTTCTGGGACTATGTACTTACTACCGGAGGTTTATTAAGAAGTTTGCAGATATCGCTAAACCATTAACGCGACTTACAGAGGAAGCAAGAGAATACCGCTGGGATGTAGACTGCCAGAATGCCTTTGAAACCTTAAAAAAGCATTTAATCACAGCACCAATTTTAGGGTATCCACTGCCAGAAGGAGAGTTCATCTTAGATACAGATGCAAGTAATGTGGGAATTGGAGGAGTGCTGTCTCAGATTCAAGGAGGACAGGAAAGAGTCCTTGGATATTTTAGTAAAGTTCTCTCAAAACCTGAGCGAAACTATTGCGTCACGAGAAGAGAACTTCTGGCAGTAGTGAAATCAGTAGAGCACTTCTATCAATACCTCTATGGAAGGAAATTTTTAATCCGAACCGACCATGCCGCCCTTAAGTGGTTGATGCAGTTTAAGAATCCAGAGGGTCAGATAGCCAGGTGGATCGAACGACTCCAAGAATATGATTTTAAGATTGAGCACCGGGCCGGAGTTAGCCACCGAAACGCCGATTCTCTTTCCAGAAGGCCATGCCCAGCAGAGTGTTCTCACTGCAACAAAACGGAATCCAAGGAAGCAGCAGTGCTAAGAACGACGGTGGTCCACGACGACTGGACGCCTACCAAGATCAGGGAAGAACAAGAGAGAGATCCAGTTATACAGAAAATCCGAAAATGGAAAGAGGAAAACCGTCGACCACCTTGGCAAGAAATATCGAACCTAGGCTCAATAGTTAAGACGTATTGGGCCCAGTGGGACTCATTTATCATGGAAGATGGCTTGCTCAAACGAGTCCTGGAAAATGATGACGGTTCAGAGAAGAGAAGACAGTTGGTGATTCCAAAGAGCAGAATAGCCGAAGTACTTCGTCAGTTACAGGACAGTCCATCAGGAGAGCATTTTGGTGTAAAAAAGACCCTTCAGCGAATTCGGGAACGGTTTTATTGGATGAACAGTTCCGACGATGTAAAAGACTGGTGTAAGAAATGTACTATTTGTGCTACGAGTAACGGGCCTTATCGAAAAAGGAGAGCTCCTATGAGACAATATAATGTTGGAAGCCCGTTTGAAAGAATAGCTTTGGACATTGCTGGGCCATTTCCAGAAAGTGATAATGGAGGCAAGTACATGTTGGTAGTAATGGATTACTTCACTAAGTGGGTCGAGATTTACGCACTTCCAGACCAGAAGGCCGCCACCGTTGCAGATAAGTTGATCCAAGAATATATCAGCCGATTTGGAGTGCCTTTGGAGATCCATAGTGACCAAGGCAGGAACTTCGAAAGCGATTTATTCCAAGGAATATGTGATAGACTAGGTATGAAGAAAACAAGAACTACGGCTTATCATCCGCAATCGGATGGTATGGTAGAACGAATGAATAGAACAGTTGGCAAGTATTTGACAAAGATGGTGTCCGATCATCAGCGAGACTGGGACCAATATCTCCCGTTCTTCACAATGGCCTACAGATCTGCTGTTAATGAATCAACAGGCCAGACACCAGCCAAAGTCCTATTCGGACGCGAGATGCGACTACCTTGTGATCTAGAGTTTGGGTGTCGACCTGGAGAAGATGTAGCAGGTGAAGATTATGTGATCGAATTACGAAGAAGAATGGACGATGTACACGAGTTGGTCCGTTCCCATCTCCAAATCGCTAGTGACCGAATGAAGAAACGGTACGATACACAAGCCGAAAAGGGGTGTTTTAAGAAGAACGATAAAGTCTGGCTTTATAACCCCAAAAAGCGAAAAGGTTGTTCTCCCAAATTGCAGCAGTTTTGGGAAGGTCCATACCTCATTATGGAGAAGATCAATGATGTTATTTACCGAATAAGCAAGATTCCGAGAGGAAAGCCGATAATAGTACACCATAACCGGTTGGCGTCTTTCGAGGGTGACCACGACGTAGATGAAGAAGTGGAAGTAAACCAAGTCCAAGATGTGTCTGACCTCACGTTTGAGGAATTCATGGGTGCCTATGGAGGTACCGGTAAAGCAAGACATGGTGTTACCACTGAAGAAAGGCAAGATCCACTCGCGCTTCCCAATGACTACTCACTGGCCCTTACCATCCCGGCCAGTATCAAAGATGCACCAGGGTTGGCATCCGTCTTTCGAAGGAAGTTTGGTCGGGTTGCAGAACTTCAATGCCAAGTGCCAGCTCTTGGTAAAACCTTGAAACTTCAAGATGCATTACGTTACCTTTTCTACCTGGTAACAAAAGACACTGCCCGTGACCAACCTACCTACCGAGATGTATGGGAAGCCTTACTTCAGTTGAGAGAGCATGTACTAGAGTCCGACGTGCAAAAGTTAGCCATGCCAAAGTTGGAGTGCCGCCAATTAGATTGGAGGGTTATACGAAACATGGTGGAGGAAATCTTTAAAGACACCGAAGTCCAGGTGTTAGTCTGTTGCAATCCGCATAGTTACTGGTGCGGAGAGAAAACCGTCCCTTGTCATTTCTATACAACTGGAAGTTGTAAAAGAGGGTCCAGTTGCCGATATCAGCATGTCGTTCCAGTTCCAGTCCCGACAAAGTTCCAGGAGGAACCATCTTTTAAGAGGGGGGCAATGTTACGATTTTAAATGTTATGGCATATAGACCTGTAAATATTTTATGACTAATCCTTTTTTTATTGATTCTCGTAATTTGTAGGTCAAAATATACCTGAGCTTCGATACCAGTTATTTACAGAAATATCTAGACCCTTCTACAAGAAAGGTCGAGTATTCAGGAATGCAGTCGACGGCCGAGAATGACTCACCTAATGGATGGAAAGATCGATGCCTAGCCAGATTTCTCTAGATAACGGCATTTTGATGTATAAATAACGGTGATCCTCATTGAGGGGAGTCAGTCATAAGAAGATCGGTACACGCGGTATTTAAATGTAACGAAACGTGAAATAAATACATTTGTAAAGTTATTTAATAAATTAGTAATTAGCTATCGTGAGTTTTAATAAATTAGATTATAGACAATAAATTAGAATAAAGACAAATAAATTCGAACTATATAAATATACAACAATAGACTAAGTAGTAATGATTTGAAATGGATTTTACAATATAGTAAATTAACAAGGTCACAATTAGAGAACTTACTTTCTCATTTAGATCTGCTTTTTAGACAAGTGATAACAAATTTGAGTATTACATTCAAAAATCTTTTGAGAATATAGGCTATTTTAAATCGATATACAAGTTATAAATGGTATGTTACATTCAACACATTTTTCATGTATACCTCTCTTAACTTGCTCTATATGACAAAAAACCTATTCATATTTAAAATTGCTACTTTCGTATACCTAAGTATGAAAATTCAACAAAAGTTATAAGTAAATAGTAAAATATTTAATTTTGAATTAGATTAATTTAGAACCATATTTATATTGTGTCTGATTTCTTAGGATGAATTTTTTAATCATAATAGTTACACTAAATTTTTACTGAACAAATTTGATATCTTTTGTATTTTTAATAATCTTTTTAAATGTCGTGTTAATGTATTGTGTTATTTATATGCTTAAGTACTTAATATTTAAAATTTTTAGAGATTCTTGACTGCATTTGATTGTAAGATTAACTGTTTGACACTGTATTTTAAGTGCAATAAATTTTACTCTAGTGATTATTTTATTGATAATATAACCTAAATAATAATAAAACTTTATATATATTTATTAGGTAAATATAGGGTTTTATTAATTTAATTTCCCTAAAAATATTTCTGTAATGAATTGAAGTTTTCAAAATATCAGTTTCCTAAAATTCAAATTAGTTTAATTTTCTGGTAGACCTTACAGCTGATTATCGGACTACCGACGTCATAGAATGCGGTGTTGCCTTTTTTACTTCATGGCTTGGAAGTAAAGGTGGCTGTGGTATAACGTTAGCCAAACCATACATTGATGGCATTCTTTAAGAATGTTTTCAACTTCTAAAACCTTAACAAAAGGGCAGTTCACCCATGTTTGTACCTAATCCTCAAAATCTTCCTGCCTATCAGGGTAAGGGTAAAATTTCAATAAACAAAAAAATTGAAGGCTTCTGCAATACATTCATGATAATCACAAGCCATTTTACAAAATGATCTGTGAATGGTCTACTAACAGTGCCAAATAAGCGGAACAAGGACACAATTAAACTATCCTTATTTATTTTTATTGGAGCAGTTTAATGTTTCTAATAAACAATATTCATATTATATTGAGTATTTTTACTTTTATTACCTTGTTCATTTTGAAAATGGGTCATCTCTTTTACAAAAGAATTCAGTTTCTAGGTCTTTTAAAATTAAAAAATATCTTTTAATAATATTCGTTGGTATGTATAGTCAATCATAAAACCAAAAAATACATAAAAACACTCAACTTCTTAATAGAAATCAATATAAGAAGTTTTTTACCTTTCCTGTGAATTTTAAAAAAGTGGATATGGCCCCTTTTCAAAATGATCTATTCAAATATCAGTTGTTTATTGCCCGCAAAAACAATTTAACTGCATGTATGTATATATGAGGACTTAGAAGAACAAACTCTGCATGGAATTCACAATAGAGGCCATCACATCACCAAAAAGAAACTAGAGCAAAACAAATCAACATGAAACTTTCAAGATTTTAATGTATCCTACTATATGTCTGTGAAAATAATATTAATTAAATAGTTATCCTGTTTGAATTAAAAATACATAAAAATGATTGTTGAAGGCCCAATAAATCAGTAACTGAAGCAAAATCCATTTATATAAATATCAGTTTCCTAGAGTTCCTACCTTTATATCAAGATGATAAACAAAATTTTTAGGTACTGAATTAACGAAATTGTAGGTACTGAAAATGATATATAATTTATTTACCTTCTTTATGCATTTGCTCATCCTGAACACCCTCATGTTCAATTCTCTCAGTTTTTATCTCATTAATATCTACTTCAGTTTTTATTTGATGTAAGCAATTAATATCCACATAATCAATTACACTACTTGTATTTAAATCACAGTGAGGTTCTTTCTTAATCTCAATTTTTAAATCCGTACATTGCAAATTTAAGTCTTCATTTTCTTTTGATTGACGTATACAACAACTATCGTCTTCTAATACTTCTTGTTTAATAAATTTAAGGCTGTCTAACAACAAATCAACTTCTTGGTTTTCATTTGATTGGCGTGTACAACTATCTTCAAATACTTCTTGTTTGAATTCCATTTTTAATTAATTACAATTATTGTTGGTAAACATACAGAATTGTAAATAAAATTACGCTAAACGAATGAACTGTCAATGCGGATTGACAGGTACAACAGTTAGGTTCAATTTTCTGACATATTTCATGTATAGACTGTTGCCAGATTAAACGATCGAAGAGTTTAATGAGAATTTCCATAAAATATTGAAACATATTCCTAACCCTTAGCATACTCGTATACATGATTTAAAATAATTACAAAATTTGTGTTATTTGATTTCTTCTCAGAAAAAATCTAACTGAATTTCGTAATATAGTGTTGTAGTATAACAATTGTAATAATATAATTTCAATATCATAATAATTGTTATAATACTTGTTTATAAAGACTGGAAAAGTAAGGGGACTAATGTCATAATGGGCTATTGCGAATTTAGCGTAAGCGTAAGATGAAAACAATTGCAAATTTTGTATTATTTGACTTATTACTAGAAAAACTATGCTCCTAGTTGGAGTGATAACCAGCCTCATAAGAAAAGCCCTTGTGCCATAGGGATAGGGTAGATTTTAATCTTTGAGCTATTTTTTGACTACTATCAAAATTTCAAGCAAATCTATGCATATTATGAAAATACTTCTGAGCAGAAAACCTCCCCCTTCTAGTCATATTCTGAACGTTCCAAACAGTCATAAAATATCTCAGAATTTTCATAGCCTCGATGTAAATCAACATTTAAGCTAAAAATTAATTTTTCGATTATTGATATGATTTTGAGTATTTTGATAAATTGTACAGTTTTTATAAATTATTTTAATGACCATACGAAGAAACTACTATTTAAACGTTTCGCTCATTTAAAACATTTTAGGGCCCCTAGAGGCATATAAAACACTCCAGTACAGATTTTAAGAAAGGATGTTTGTTTTTATTACCAAATTTGGTGTGCGTATTTTCTCATTTAGAAGTAACTTTGGAGCAATGGTATTTCGCTTACATACAAAAAAAATAGTTATATTATTATGTTTTAAAGAAACATTGAAACTCCAGCAACACTGTCAAGGTGAACTATATATTGCCTATATTTGGGGCAACTCAGAAATAAAAAAGAATCTGTCAGTGTCAAGTCAAATTGAATATTAGATTTAGATTGCACAATAATGCTCAATAATATTTCTATTTCTACGAAAACAATTCGCACTCCAAAACAGTATTTATATCGGTGATATTGTGATTGTAATATTTGTAATAGTGGTAATACAAAATGACGTCTCCGTGGGCAAAAATTGATCAACCTCATCCAGTAAGCCTGGAAGAAATTATATCTGAAGAAGTCGCCAAGAAATTGCAAGGCAAAGAAGATAAAAGACCGAAACAAAAGACTAAGAAAGACTTTAAAACTTCCGTAAAATTACCATTTATTGCAAACACCATCTCCGATAACATTTGTGATACGGATGAAGCTATGGCAACAAGACAGCAGCAGTATGATGAACAATCCACAGAAGAATTGAATGGTAAGTAGTTGTTACTCTATTTAATGGAATTAAAGAAGTATTAAAGTTGTTAACTTAATGTTTTCCTTTTAATTCTAGATTTCGTCAGTGACTCAGATGAAGAAGAAATTTTAGATGCTGATGAAAGAAAATTCTGGGATAGATTTGAAACTTTAGGACCCGAATTTGATTTAAAAGCAGAGTGTCCTTACAAAGTACCACAAAACAGACACATGCTAACAAAAGATTATGATGTGATGGATGAAATTAGAAATGCCTTTAAGTTGAGATTATTTCCATTTAAATTTCTTGTTGACCCTATCAAATGTTTTCCAGAAATAAGTACGTATAGAATACTTTATACAATGATAGAAACACAAGTTTTGAACCACGTAAATGGTATTATTAATATAGGTAAGTTTAGTAGATATGTGATGTTTAGTGAGGCTGTTCCAAAATCCAATATTTTTAGGGGAAGAAGCAGTAATCCTGCATGGTAATTTACATCAGTCTTCAAAAGAGTGTGCTATAAAAGTATATAAAACAATCTTATCTGATTTCAAAGGTTGTAATAAATTTCAGAAATATGATCATAGATTTATGAACAGAAAAGGGGGAAAAGTTTCTAAACAGACCATAAGTCTTTGTGTTGAAAAGGAAACGAATAATCTGATAAGAATGCATGAGGCTGGAATACCTTGCCCAAAATTAGTGGTTTTTAATAAACACATATTGGTGATGGAGTTTCTTGGAGAAAACCAATTATGTGCTTTAACATTGAAATATGCCAAACTGACAGATGATGAATGGATAGAGGCTTATCAACAGGTAATATTGTACTATATTTATTAAAAATATTTGAAACACTACAGTTTTATCATTTTAGGTCATTGAAAGTATGAAGACTCTTTACAATAAGGCCAATTTGATACATGCCGATCTAACAGAAAATAATATCTTGTGGCATCAAAACAAATGCTACTTTATCGATGTTAGTGAATCTATAGAGAGTAGCCATGAGGAAGCGTTTGTATGTTTGTACAGGGATTGTACCAATATTACAAGGGTAAGTAATGTTATTTTTTCCATATATAATTTTCTTGGGTGTATCTTATAGTTATAGTTTACAATATGATGAGTTTATGTGTTAAAATTATTTCTAAAATTCTGTCACACTTCTATCACAATTTAAAACACACCTCTTCACTTGACTAACTACTAATACTTGATGCATTTTTTTGAATACATACTTACCTATTACACAATTTCAATAACTTTCATGTACCAGCTGTTAAATAATTGTACAATTATTATTATTTATTTACTATCATTAATGAGGATCAATCACAATTGTAGTTTAAAATATGTTTAAAAAAATTACATATTTATTGTTTTGTTTTTTTAGTTCTTTTCTGAGAAAGATGTAACACATGTCGCTACACCACTTGAGCTGGTTAGTTACATAACAGGCTTTGATTTTGGTGATCACATTGCTCTTCCTGATTTAAAAGAGGCTTACAAACTGCAAGTCAACCCACAGGCAGCCATAAGCCCTGAATAGATCAAAATTACAATTTAGAGATTCTTTCTACCTCAAATCAATTTGGATATTTAGGTCATCTGTACAGTACCTGAAGATATATTTTCTGTTGAAGGTTTGGTTTCCTTTAACAGTTATGAAAACAGCAAGGTTTTACACAGGAAGAAAATTTAACAGGATTATTATATTCAAAAGATGTATTCTAGTCACTTAAATTTTTCTTATTAAATTTTATTGAATGTATTTTGCATTTTGTGTAAATAAACATTATTTTGGAATAATGGTTTTATTAGTAGGTTATTTCCTAATATTTATAGAATATGGATTAAGTAGCTTGATGAAACATACCTCTCCTGATAATATTTCGTGACAAAATCAGACAATTAACACTAAACAAAAACCTTCAAGGGACACTACAGATACATGTTTGCGGTTCAAATTTTAAAATCATATTAAAATGCATAAAGAAATACCTTCTAAATGATTTTATTGAAGTTTGAAGCTCATCCAAAGTATCCTAAAGTACTTAGAAAATATTCCAGGAAAGTATTCAAATATGCCAGACAAATACTGAAACATTTCATTTGAACTTGAAATATTTTAGCCTGTACTACAGTTCTCTAGAGACACCTAAAACATGCTAACAAGTTTCAAAAGTTTATAAAACTATCCCAAAGTCTGTCAGAGGCAGTTAAATATAGTGGGGTCATTCGGAAATATTTGAAAACAGTACAGAAGTTGATTCAAGGTTTATGAAATGTTCCAAACAGTCTTAGGATATCACAATTTCTTGGAGTCTCGATTGAATTCAACATGTAAGCTAAAAAATAATTTTATGATCTAATTGTATAATTTATTTTAATATTTCTATGAAGAAATCAATATCAAAGCACTCTGTGCCCATTAAAAACATATGAGACATATTTGGTTGTATTAAAACATCTTCAAAACTATTTTAGCGACCCCAGAGGCATACCAAACACTCCAGGAGAGGGTTTAAGGAGAGATGTTTCATTACCACACATTTACTCTTTTTAGAAGTAATTCTTGCGTGATTTATAAGTATTTATGGAGTGTAGTAATTTAATATATATTTTTTAATGTCGTCCATAATAGAGCGAAATATATAAAACACAACATAACGCAGTACAAACCATGGACATATAAACATAGAGTATAAACAAAGTAAAAGATACATTAAAATACTAATTATAAATTTTTCATAATGACAAAGCTGTCAATAATTAGTGCAACTGTCCTCAATTAATACTATAGTAACAATTTGACAGCAAAGCAAACCGATGATATCTTTTTACTTACATATACAGTATGTTGCTCAAATTTAAGTTTATTATCAGACCTACAATTTTGTTTACGGTATCAGATTAAATGGATTTATTTTCCAGAGTAGAATGTTTAGTTTATTCTAAAAAAAAATTATTTTGGTTTTAAAAAAATTAAATGCCAAATGATTAGCTTATTACACTAACATTTTTAGCAGATCAGTACTAATAATTTTATTCATTCACCTCTCATTAACACCGTCGTTAATCTTTCTTCTCACCAATTAACAAGTGCAGACAGCAGTCTTCTATCTAAAGGTCTTAATTTTGCTATCACTCCTTCCAGAATTCCTACCGAAGAAATAGTTTCAAATGTGGAAGCTGCACTCCGCACAATTCCCAAAATTCCAGCCGACCGTATCCGCTTTGACGTCGCTAAATGTCTTGATACAGCCAAAATCCCTACTTCCAATATATCTCGTGAGGAATTCATAGCTCTCAAAAATCTCCGTTCTCTCTCTGAGATAATAATCCTTCCTGCAGACAAAGGTAATGCCACAGTCGTCCTGGATACTCCTTCCTACATAGAGAAAGTAAACGACTTACTTAGGGATACATCCTGTTATAATACAATTTCTCGAGACCCCATTTCTAGAGTCGAACGCGAAATTTCCCATGCCATCAAACAATCCGATCTTTCCGATGATGTTAAGAAGTCCATAGTTCCAAAAAACTCCATCTGCCCCAGAATTTATGGTCTTCCGAAAATCCATAAAGATAACGTACCTCTTCGTCCCATTGTGACTACGATTAACTCTCCTACCTACAAACTCGCAAAGTACTTGTCCAATCAGTTTAAGACCTATACTGGTCGTACCTCTTCTTATGTCCGAAATTCCACACATTTCATCACCTTAATCTCCTCTCTCACAGTCGATCCCCAAGATATTCTCGTCAGTTTCGATGTATCATCCCTATTTACCAATATCCCCATACATGACTCTCTAGTTGTTCTGCGAGATCACTTGACCAATGATAACAAGTCTTTGGTTTTGGCAGATCTTGCCGAAAAATGCCTCCTTTCAACATATTTTTCTTTTAGAGGCAATTTCTACAAACAAATATCTGGAACACCAATGGGTTCTCCCCTTTCCCCTGTCATTGCTGACATTTTCATGGAAGCGTTTGAGTCTTTAGCCCTAGAATCTTACCCCTTAAAACCAAAAGTCTGGTTCCGCTACGTTGATGATACATTTATCATCTGGCCCCATGGTCAACATACCCTTTCTTCCTTCCTAGATCATCTTAACTCACAACATCCGAGTATAAAATTCACAATGGAAGTAGAAAATAATCGGTCCCTTCCCTTTCTCGATGTGTTAGTCACCTCCAAGCCCAATGGCCGATTGGGTCACTCTGTTTATAGAAAAAAGACTCACACGAATCGTTACCTACATCCTTCATCACACCACCATCCGGCCCAAAAGAATTCTGTGATCAACTCTCTCATCCATCGGGCCATTTCGATTTCTGAACCCGACAACCTTAGAGAAGAACTTGGCCATCTGCAAAAAACCCTTGTCGCCAATGGTTACTCCAAGTCCACAATTCAAAATATTACACACCGACATCTACATCCCCCTTTACACCCTAGGACAACAAATTCAGAATCTTCGGGTAATACTCCTGTGGCTTTTCTTCCGTATATTCGAAACGTCACTGATAGGATTGGCAAAATTCTTCGCAAAGAAGGTATCAGGACTACTTTTCGACCACCCAAGAAAATCTCACAATATCTACCCTCTCCTAAGGACCCATTACCGCCCCTATCTTCCTGTGGTGTCTATTCTATTCCTTGTTCATGTGGACATGTGTATATTGGCGAATCTGGTCGTTCCGTCAAAACTCGGATTCAAGAGCATCAAAGATGCATTCGATCAGGTCTTTTCTCCCATTCTGCAGTTGCCGAACACTGCCAAGAAACCGGTCATTCCATATTGTTCGAAAAAACCCATATTATTTCTAAGAGCCCCTTCTTTTATTCCAGGAAAATCCGCGAATCTCTAGAGATCCGAAAAAATCCCCATAATATCAATCGAGAGGAAGGATACTACTTGTCTCCCATCTGGAATCTCAGTCTAGAGCCACCGTCCGGTCCCACCACCACGATGCAGCCACATGATTGGCCAGCGCGCGCTTCTTGACGTTCGCGCCACGAAGTGTGCCGATACGTCCCGACACGACAGGCACCGCGACTATAAATAGAGCGGTAGCGGAGTAATCGTCGGATTCACTCCCCGCCTCTCGACGCGTTAGTGTTCTGAGCTGTTGGACGTGAATCCCTGTCCTGGCATTTGGTTTTCACCTCTGGCTGCGTTGAGTAGTTGAGTTACTGTGACCAAATGCCCATCTTGGTAGTTAGTATTCGCCTCTGGTTGCGTTGAGTAACTGAGTTACCGTTGCTAACTACCCATCTTCCTGTTCTTTTGTTTTCTTTTTTCTTTGTTCTCCTGAAGAAGCTACATACAATTGTAGCGAAACGTCGAGATGAACCCACTTTTGGGTCACTCACAAATGACACGGTCCAAACCCGGAAGACGAATAAACTATAATTCTGTAAGAACATTATCAGAAAGATGGGATATCATCCCAGCCTGCAACCATAGATTTTTAAAACTTTGTATAGTAATTTTTACTTCAACCGAGTTGGTGGGAAGAAAATAAAAGGAATTTGTAATATTTATTAGATTTAAAAAATACGTTGGATCAAAAGAATTACTTTTTCCAGTGAGATCTGGGCCTATTGAGCAGTAATATTTATTCAGCTCACTGGGGTCTAAGACTATATATGCAGTTTGGGGAACCTTTGCTCTAAGATTATTAACTATATATAAAGATTCCTTTTGTTTGTTATTCGCATTTTCCATTCTAGATTTCAAAGATATATATTTAACTAATTATACTTTTATAGGTACTTAAACCTGTCAAAATTACATTTGCTTAAAATTCTACCGCTTCTGGCTGTATGAAGTGGATTCTTAAGGGGAAATTCACATAGAACGGAATCATTATTCCATGAAAAATAAAGAATCACTCTGCACACCGCCAGATCCAGATGAACATTATTACAAATACAATCCATTATGCTGTTATCTCTGGTTGGTTTGGTAACCAGCATTCTAATATCAAAACTTCTTCTTCTTCGTCTAGCCATTCACGTCCACATCTGAACATAAGCCTCTTCAAGTCTTCCTTTTCATTGTTTTTTATTGTACGCTACTTGTAGCCAATTTTTCCCGGCAGTCCTTTTCAGATCATCTGTCCACCTCATAGGAGGTCTGCCTCTGGGTCTTTTGTGTTGGTATGGTCTCCAGGTTAAAATTGATCTGTGCCATTTGTTTAGATCGCTCCTAGCTACATGTCCAGCGTATTCCCATTTCAACTTTAATGATTTTTGCACCACATCGGTGACTTTGGTTTTCTGTCTTATCCATGGATAAGACATGAATATCAAAACTATTAAATGGTAATAACATGGCTATGTGATGAATCCAGATAATCAATATTAAAGTCACTTATCAGATATCTATAATAAAAATATTTTTGTGGAATTTTTTCAAGTAAGGATTCCAATATGTGAAAAAATAACTGAATAATAGACTTTGGGTGTCTGTAGCTAAGCTTCTTACTGAAAGTAATAGATAATTCAGATTCAATGCAGAGGTGTCTATATTTATTGTAGTCAACAAAATGTTTTCATATCTGCAAAATTTAGATATTAAGGAGTAATTGTTAATACAAAGTGTTTCCAGAGGACATAATCGGTGCTCAGTTAAAATACAAGATCTGGCCAATTATTTTGGCTAACAAACACTTCCAGTTCCTCAACTTTATTGCGTACAGAACATATGTTGTATGAAATAATAGAAAATTTATTACTAATATTAGAATACAATAGTTGATTGTACACAAATTTTGAGCAAATGTGTTTAATGGAATTTCAGTTAAAAAAATAGTTTTATTATTGCAGTTTTAAAGAAATATTGAAACTCAGGCATCACTGTATAGGTTGTAGATTGCCTATATTTGGCGCAACTCAGGAACTAAAAAGAAACGTCAATTTTTATAAATATAAATCATCGTATTCTTTATACATTGCGCAATTATGACCAATCTCAGTAGTATTAAAATTTCAACGAAAAAAATTCGGCACGGCACTCGAACACAGTATTTATATCCGTGATATTGTGATGTGATTGTAATAGTGCTAACACAAAATGACCTCTCCCTGGGCAAAAATTGACCAACCTGATCCAGTAAGTCTAGAAGAAATTATATCTGAAGAAGTCGCCAAAAAATTGCAAGGGAAAGAAGATAAAAGACTGAAGCAAAAGATCAAGAAAGACTTTGCAACTCAAACTCCCGTGAAATTACCAACCAAATCCGATAAGATTTGTGATATTGACGAAGTTAAGACAAAAAGGCAGCATGAACAATCGACGGAAGAATTAAATAGATTTCCCAATGTGTCATTAGTTAATAATTGTAAAAAGGATCCTGTGGATAATAGTAAGTTGTTAGTGTATTTATTGTAGTGACATTGTAGAGTATAAAAATCGTCAACCTATTTTCCGTTATTTGTTAGATTTCGTCAGTGATTCCGATGACGAAGAAATTTTAGACGCGGATGAAAGAAAATTCTGGGATAGATTTGAAACTTTGGGGCCAGATTTTGATTTAAAACCACAGTCTCCCTATAAAGTTCCACAAACCCCAAAAGTCCCACATATATTAACAAAAGATTTTGATGTGATTATGATGGATGAAATTAAAAATGCCTTTAAATTGAGACTATTTCCATTGAGATTATTTAAAGAACCAGTCAAATGTTTTCCAGAAAAAAGTACATATAGGACACTTTATACAATGAGAGAAACACAAGTTTTGAACAGCATAAATGGTATTATCAGTATAGGTAAGTTTAGTATTACTACTACAAATTTCTAGTTTAGGTTAAATTTAAATTATTAAAATTTGCATAACCTACCCTACAGTGTTGCACGATTTTTATATATAATTGAAACAAGATATTACTTGAATCTTTCTGTGGCTTATTATCGTTTAAAATGTTTTCGCATAGTAAAAGACTTTTAATATTGAGGAATTTCTTTGTTTTGAGTGCATAGCATAATAAAAAAAATGTTTTTTTTTTATTAATCTCTTGCCAGTTTTGACAGAACACTTTCTTATTTGTTTCCTATGCTGTGATTCTGTGAACTGTGAACAATACATTGAACTGTAAGTTGCATATATGTGGCGCTACTCATACATCCAAAAATCGAGGAGTAGTAATGCAACCCAAAATACATATTTTTCACATTTTGTGAAAAATTAGTTTTTACAGTATTTTTTACAGAATTACTAAGCTTTTAAAATAGTTTAAAAGTAAATTATAGGTATAGTCGAGGATTACTATCGATTTTCCGCAATCGAAAGATGGATTTGAATGCAGTTTTGGACATTAAATGTCCAAATAAATGTAAAATTAAATAAAAAAAATCAAATTTTGATTCCTAATAATCTCTACAAACTGTATGATCCTATGTTTATTATACAGGGATGTTTGAGGTCATACTAACACTAATTGATTTGATTCTGTATATTTAGGAATTAGTTTCTTGGTTTGCACATCACTTGGTGTGTTGTTATCAAATTTTTGTACATAGTGTGGGAGAATTTTTTATTCTCCAATACTTATTAGTTAAGGTTTCAAAATTTAAATTTCTATATGTACAAACAATTAATGGAGAGTAATATTTTTCCAAATAACATAATTATGTAATGTAACAAATTATTTTTAGGCAGGGAAGCAATAATTCTTCATGGAAATTCATATCCCTCTTCCAAAGAGTGCGCTATAAAAGTCTATAAACCATTCCTGTCGGATTTCAAAGGATGTGATAAATTTCAGAAATATGATCATAGATTTATGAACAGAAGAAAAGAAAAAGTTTCTACAGAGACCATCAGTCTTTGTGTTCAAAAGGAAAAGAATAATCTGTTGCGAATGCACGAGGCTGGAATACCTTGCCCAAAAGTAGTGGCACTTAATAAACACATATTGGTGATGGAGTTTATTGGGGAAAACCAAATATGTGCTTTAACATTGAAATATGCCACACTGACAGATGATGATTGGATAAATGCTTATCAACAGGTAATATTGTACTAGGTTTATTAAAAAATATTTGAAACAGTTTCATTTTAGGTTGTTGAAAGTATGAAGAATCTTTACAATAAGGCAAACTTGATCCACACAGATCTAACAGACGACAATATCTTGTGGCATCAAAACAAATGCTATTTTATTGATGTCAGCGAATCTGTAGAGAGTGGCCATGAGGAAGCGTTTGTGTGTTTGTATAGAGACTGTACAAATATTACAATGGTAAGTAAAGTGTGAATAGTGTGATGCATTTAGTGTGTTACTACTGTAAGTAATGATGTGTCAGTAAGGTATATGCAACACATATTACATGTCTAGAGTGCATAATATGCCATACAGAAGATATATCTATACTGTACGGAAATTGAATGACTTCTTACCGCAGAATAATAAAAAATCAAAATGCCCACTCTGCGTGTCCAGATAAGTACGCGCAGACCTACAGTCCTGCAGTTTGTCCTACTTTTAGTTGAAGAATAGATTAAATTATTTCAGATTTACTAATATATCTCTAAAAATTTAAATTACGGTTCTGTCGTAGCTTGTCACAAATTTCTCAATCCGAGTCTATGTTTCCGTTTAAAATATGGCAATCGCGTGCTGACAAACTTCAAAGACGGCATCTGAGAGTGGGCATCTGATTGGTATTTATTCTGTGCTCTTTGTTAATATATAACCTTACATGGTGCTGCGGCAAAAAAAATCAATAAGAATTGGAGTAAACACATAAAAATAAATAAATAAAAGATATGAAAATGAATTTTCGATGAGTTTCAAAGCTGGTAATTTTGGAAACAAAGGTTCACCATATACCTCGTGGCTACGGTGATTTCCAAGAAGTCACAAGACACGCAATGTCCACAATTGTTAACTTTGATTGTTGAAGAGGGAATGAGAATCTACAATACCTTTGCTCTTATGGAGGATGAATATAATAATAATCTTAAAGTACTTCTAAAAAAGTTTGATGATTACTTCAATTCAAGTTCAAGCCAAAAAAGAACTTGACTTATGAGAGACATCAGTTTCTTAAGTGTACCCGAGTAGAAAGTGAATCAATAGTCGATCACTACGCTAGTAGAGTAAAGGTTTGTCATTAGGCTGTGAACTCGGAAATCTTGAGAGGATAACAAAGGATATTCTCATTTGCGGAATAAAATCAAACAGAAAAGAGAGAGAGAGATTGTTATAAGGAGATTTGAAAAGCCTAGATGATCAAACATGCCTTGATGATCGGAAAACCCAAAGAACAGAGCAATATTATGGGTAACAGAGAAGAGTCACTTCAAGAATTAAATAAATTAAATATAGACAAGATTTATAGAAAACATTCGTGAAACAGAGAAGAAATAAAACTGGACATAGAAAACAAAACAAAAAGTGAAAAAAGACGGTGTGGAAGGTGTCATTTAAATACAGTTATGTTAAGTATCCTGCATTTGGTAAAACGTGTGGAAAGAGTGGTGGTCTAATTTGTGCCAGGCCAGTTTTGGAAAAAAGTCGCACAGGATCAAATCTGGAGAATACGGTGGATGAGGTAACAGTCCGTTTCACAATTTAACTACGGTTCGGCCTCGAATCGGTACAGTAGATACCTACAACGATTTTGCCCTTCTCCAGGTAGTCGATGTAGATCAGACCTTGTGAATCACAGAAAACCGTGTCATCACCTTTTTGACTGATCGGACCGTTTCAGCTTTCTTAAAATAAAGCCAAATACTGATTTGAATTGGTCTCACGGTTGGGCTTGTTTTTTTGCCAATTCGATATCGTGGATATTGTCACATTATCCTCCGTGGTAACAGTACTGTGCACCTGGGCGTAGCTTATCAAAAACAAACGTGCAACCAAGAAACTCGTTAAATCAATTTTTAACGGTTGCCATCGAAGAAGAGTCCGCATTTATCCGAGTTCTTTGATTTAACTACGACATTTTCCTTCCAAAACAAAAATGAAATCACCGATATTGCTCCTTTTCCAATTTTCTCAAAAATTAAAATCACCATCAATAAGCCAATCCTGTCCACTGCTGGACACAGGCCTCCCTCAGTTCTTGCCAGTGTTCTCTACACTGGGCCGCTTGTAGCCAGTTTCCCGCTACACGTTTTATATCATCGGTCCATCTAGTCGGTGGTCGTCCTCGGCTTCTTTTATAGTTTCTGGGCCTCCATTCCATAATACGTCTTGCCCACCGTCAATCTTGTGTTCTGGCTAAGTGCCCTGCCCAATTTCACTTAAGCGTCGTGGTTCTTTCGATGACGTCTTGAACTCCTGATCTTTGCCTGATTTGTTGGTTTGTTATGTGGTCTCGAAGGCTCACGTTCAGCATTGCACGTTCCATGGCTCGTTTTGCAAAAAATTGTAATAGTGACAGAAAAACTATAAGATTTAAAGAAATAAAAGGAAAATAATTGGCATAACGAGGATTGCGAAACAACAACCGAAGAAAAATCAAGTCCGACATGAATTGCTTAAAATAGATAGATAAGAAAAAAAAGTATAGAAGAAAGAATAATTCATATAAATCAGTAGCAACAAAAAGGTGGATCAATAAACTAAAATTATGTAAATATAAAATCTCAAAATAAGAAAAAACAAATTGTTAAGATTAATATATTTATAGGAGAAACCCTATGAAGAAGGACCAGTTATTTAAAACCCTCTCCCATATTTGACACTTAATGTGATTGTTTTTATAGAAAGGTATGACCTCCACAGCATAACCTTTCCATTTTTCTTTACTTCAATATCTTTGTAATAATTTAATTACTTTTAGTATTTTACACTAGATTTGACCAAAATTACATATCTTTTTTTTAGCTCTTCTCCGTGAAAAATATTCCACACGTAGCTACACCAATTGAACTAGTTAGTTACATAACAGGCTTTGATTTTGGCGATCGCACTGATCTTTCTGATTTAAAAGAGGCTTACAAACGGCAAGTCAACCCACAGGCAGCCATAATCCAGGAATAGATCGAAATTACCATTTAGTTTTCCTTTAGAGAAAGCAAAAGTACAGATTACTGCTACCTCAAATCAATTTGGATATTAAGGTCACATATACAGTACCTGAAGATATATTTTCCGTTGAAGCTTTTATCAGAAATAAAAAAAAACAAGGTTTTACACCGGAAAAAAATAACAGAGTATTTTTATATTTAAAAGCTGTATTCTAGTCACTTAAAAAGCTATTAAATTTTTTTATATGTATTTTGCATTTTGTGTAAATAAACATTATTTTGGAATAATAAATTTTTATTAGTAGGTTATTTCCTAATACTTTCATAATATGGATTCAGTATCTGGATGAAACATACCCTTCAGATTCTTATAATAATATTTCGCCCCAGAATCAGACAAATTACAGCAAACTGATACCTTGAATTGACACTAGAAATAAGTGCTTGCCTTTCAAATTCATAATAATATTAAAATGCTATAAGAAAACACGACAAGCTGATGAAGACATTAAGGAATATTGGAATAAACACCTGTGATCTAAGAATTATTAGCAATCTTTACTGGAATTAAATACCGTCTATACGTACAGAGGCAGGAGAATCTGATGATATCAAAATCAAACGTGGGGTCCAACTGTGATGTATACTATCACCTTTGATGTTCAACATTACTTTGAGGAAATCTTTGAAGAAGCAGTAGAAGATGTTGAAGTCGGAATTCGAATTCAACAGAGAATGTATCAATAACATCAGATAGGCGGATGGCACGGTAGTAATCGCTGACCGTTATGAATCACAGAAGTGAGTCAGAGAGATAGACTTTCACTGAACATTAAGAAAACAAAATGTATGATGATCTCTAAGAAGGAACAGCAATTTGGACAAATCAGTGTAAACGGTCAACAAATAGAAAGAGCAAAAACATACAACTACCTTGGTACGAACGTAAATAAAAATTGGGACCATTCTCTAGAAATAAAATTTAGGATAGAGAAAGCAAGATCTACATTTAAAAATATGGCTAAGCTATTCAAATGTCACGATTTATCAGTATCCATAAAAATCAAGTTACTACGATCTTTTCTATACTGTTGTACGGAGTTGAGTCGTGGACTCTCACAGATGCTACCTGCAAGAAAATTGAGGCTTTCGAAATGTGGCTTTATCGTCGAATCCTGAAGATATTCTATACCGACCAAGTTACTAACCAGGACGTTTTATTAAGAATGCAAAAAGGAAAAGAGCTATTAACCGCAATAAAAATAGAAAAAATCGAATACCTCAGTCACATCATGAGGAACAGCGAAAGATATGGTTTGCTGCAATTAATTCTGCAAGGAAAAGTAGAAGGAAAACGAGGACCAGAAAGACGAAGGATTTCTTGGCTGAAAAATCTACGTACATGGTTCAACACATAACCACATCTTTTCAGAGCCAAAGTTGTCTATATTGTGGCCGAAGTTTGCAAAATACAGATTGCCATGATGGTCTGTAACATCCAAAACGGATAGGCACTACAGGAAGAAGATAAAAAACGCCTAATGGCTTTACGGAAGTTCGGAGCTCCATAAAAGTACCCTAAAGTACTTATAAAATATTCCAGGATAGCTTTAAAGACCATAAAAATCCTAAAGTACTTCATTTGAATCTGAAACATTTTAGCCTGTACTACAGTTCTCTAGAGACACCTAAAATATTCCAGACAGTTCCAAAAGAGTATAAAACTGCCTCCAAAGTCCTTGAGATTAAGTTAAAAATTGTGGGGTCATCCGGAAATATTTTGAAACACCGTGGAAGTTGATTTAAGACTATGAAATGTTCCAAACAGTCATAGGATATCACAGTTTTTCAGAGCATCCATTGAACAATTAAGCTAAAAAAATTTTTGTAATCTAATTGTATCTTCTTAGCCTTCTGTGAACCATTTTTTGACCTTTCTTAACTCCTTTCATCGATCTTTATCCTGAGCAACATACTTCCAATTTGTTCCGGCTAATCATTTTATGTCATCTACTCATATTGATGTTTCAATGGTGCTAATACAAAATGACGTCTCCATGGGCAAAAATTGATTAATCTCATTCAGTAAGCCTGAAAGAAATTATATCTCAAGAAGTCGCCAAGAAATTGCAAGGCAAAGAAGATAAAAGACTGAAGCAAGACTAAGAAACGCTTTAAAACTTGTAAAAACAAACATCTTGTCTTTTTCTTTATATAGGAAACATTTGCAACATCTGATGACGATTTCCAAATGAATTTAAAATATTTCAGTAGAATCTCAAAACATTTTTGGTTGTATTGAAAGCGGCTTTAATCATATCAGCACCTCCAGAGACATACAAAACACTCAAAGACCGAGTTTAAGAAGAGATGTTTCTTTACCACATATTTTCTCATTTTAGAAGTAATTCTTACCTTATTTACTAATTTACTATATATTTTTTAGTAGCATCCGCAATAATTTATTGTAAACAAATTTTAAGTAAATTCATTTAATGGAATTTCGGTTAAAGTGACTAAAAAAATAGTTTTATTATTGCAATTTTAAAGAAATATTGAAACTCTGGCAACACTGCGCAGTGGAACTGTAGGTTGCCTACATTTGGCGCAATCAGGAACTAAAAAGAAACGTCCCAATTCGTCTTGCTTCTCATTCGTAAGAAAGGTGGCAAAGAGGATATCAAAAGCTACAGATCTATAAGTCTACTACCAATCATATACAAGATATTCACAAAGATCATCAATAACAGATTAAAAAATGCATTAGATGCTGCACAGCCAAGAGATAAAGCTAGCTTCAGAAGTAGATTCAATACCCTGAAATTTCATATGAAAGTAAGATATTATTCTGAAGCTGTTTTCTTGTGACATTTTAAAGTAACTAATTACTATTTAAATGGGAATAAGCCACAATTAAAGGATAAAGTAAGTTTGTTGACGTTTCAATTTCCACTTCGGAAATTCTTCTTAAAATACAAACATTAATGAGATCTATCCCATTTAAATTGTAATTACTTTAAAGTAGGATTGCACCAAGACTCGGTGCACAGTCCTTATTTAGTCTCATTATTGTTGGATCAGATAACAGTGAAACAACAGGGTAACACTCCCTGGAGCTTAATGGATGCTGATAATGTAGCGTCAGTAGGAAATAGTAAAAACGACTTAAAACAAAAACAGTGGAGACAAGCTCTTGAGAGAAAAGGTTTAAAACGTCAGTCAAGAAATACAAACACGGATTCTTAGCGGTAATAAGTGCTTTTATGAATACAAAGACTTATGAAAACTAAGTTCAAGCTAATCGAGAGTCTAAGCTTAGAATATGCAAAACAGTAGTTAGACCATATGGATGTGAAATGTAGACCCTTTCAACCATCGATTAAAATCAATTGAGAATATTTGAACGCAAAATAACAAAAAAGATATTTCGACCAACCCATTGTAGTCATGGTTCATGTAGAATAAAAATTAACTAAACGTTGTAGAAGCATGCAACAAATACGGCCTAAAACTAAACTGCAAAAAGACATAAATAATGATCATCAATAAAAACACCAACATAAACGCCCAAATTACAATAAACGATACACCGTTAGAAAAAGTGGAAAAATATGCTATTATAAGATTCTCTGCAACTTATCTTTTAAGTAACAATATACACATAAGGATTCTTGGATATTACGTCTTTAGTGACCTCTATGGAATAGAAAGCTAGAGCCTTACAAAATATGCCATAAAACGATTAGAGGCATTTGAAACGTGTTGCTACTGACGTATGTTTTAGGGTCTCATATATACGCCACACAAGTAACATAACTATTCTTCACAGGCTAAGAAAACACAAAGAAATTGAGCTGTAAAAGTAATCCAGAGATGGAAATCTCAAGGAAATAGGACCGTAAAAGGTGGATAGACGTTGAAAAAGATCTTAAAACCATGAATATATGGCAGTAGCGAAGGAGACAGTGCAGAATGAAAGAACTTTGTTAAGCAGACTGAAACGCTCAATACTCCGGGAGTATTGGGTTTTTGGAAGTGTAGAACTTCCAAATTTCAGAAGAACTGAAAGAGAAGTGATGAAAAAAAAAAACTAAAAATAGGGCTATGCTCAGAGGAACAAATTTAAATGGCCAAAGAGACACTAAATCTCAAGTGAGTGTTCGGGCTAGCTTCAATGCACTGGATTGTGGCTTTAAAGATATAAACAACAATAACAAGAGATAATGAGCTAATGAGACAAGAAAGAAATGAGACCTGGTAATATCAAACGTGATACAACTGAAGAAGGTCACTGGGAATAAATTTATAGAAAGAGAACAATAAGAAGAGAAAAGAAGGGCGCCAACTCAACGATAGTTGAGATTTTGAAGTAACAAATGAATCTGGAGATAATACTCTGAAATACAAAAATACTAAATAATAATCTTATTTTGCTATGTTATATACTGGTTAGTAGAACTGAAATAAAACTCAAAATAGCAACAATAAATATATTTATAAAAAATGTATATAGGTATATGTGTATAAACAATTTACATATAATGCAAAGCCAAATAACAGTGGTAGTGGATGGTGTACAGATACAATGGGACCTAATAGCCCCTCAACAAACGAATAGTCACTACCACTGGCCAAATAAAATTTAAAATATTAGTAACAATTCAAGAATAGTCCGTATGATAGCCGAAGTCTTAACACTAAGGTTAGTAATTTAGATTTAAATAGTTCTACTAAAATGAGAAATAATTACCGTATTGTACAGATATCAACAATGATAACTCTGTTACAATTATATTATCTCAAAAGTGAGTTCTCAATACTCATTATATATATTAAAAAAAAACCACATTAAATTTATGTCCCTCTCTCAATATCAAATTGTATTATATCAAATGTATTGTATTAAAAAAATATTATAGCAAAAGTGAGTTTGGTCAGTACTCTTGAAATCCTATTTAAAAACCCAATAAAAACATGTAATATATTTTCTTCTCCCCAATATTTTAGAATTAG